TGACACATTTTATAACGTACTATAAGTTTTTACACAAATATTTATTATATATACACTGTTTCACGATTGCTTGACACGGAGGTGACACCATATGATCCCTACCGTTATCTAATTTCCTGAAGGGCATTTAGCGCTGTACACTTCGTTACACCATTATTCTGTAGGCTTTTTGCCTGAGTTCAGCAGCTTTTTTCCTTTTTGGTTTTAGAAATTTTAGCTCCGGGGTCATATTAATATCAATTTTAAATTTCAATCCATCTTAATTTAGTTTTACTATTTCCGTTAGCGCAAGTTAGTTTGGTTCACAATACATTAGCCAGGCCTTCTATAACTGGTTTCCAGACATCTTACACTTGGCTTAAAGGAGAACTATGGGGGTTAAGGCTTTTCCCCATAGTTCTCCTTAGGGTAACGGGAGGACACAAACTAGCGTCCTCCCGTCACCCTAGGCTCATTATACCGCGAGCTGTAGCTCGCGGTATACTGAGACGCCGCAGTATACCGCGAGCAGTTGCTCCCGGTATACTGAGATGCCGCAGCTGAAGCGGATCCCAACAATTGTGCCGGGATCCGCCCAGCTGCGTGAGTGACAGCTGGCTCTGCCTATCTAAAGGCAGAGCCAGCTGTACCCGCCCCCTCCCCCATCCGATCCGCCAGTCAGCGCTGGAGGATCGGAGCGGGGGGAATCCAGCCCCTCCCCCTGTCACGGCAGAGAGATGTGACACGATCGAGAGGTGAGCGAACGCCGGTATGTGTTCGCTCACCTCCCGATCTACTGAGCCGACCTGTGACAGTCTAATTGTCACAAATCGGCTAGAACTATGAGGTGAGTGGAAATCACTCATCTCATAGTTCTCCTTTAATCTTTACACATGATCTGCACATCTTCTCTATGTATGCCTTCCACCCTCACCCCAAGAGACCTCGGTGCCTTAGTCAAAGTTCAGCACCAGGGGACTAATCAAAGGCGAGCTCTTCCTGTAATGGTGGAAGTATTGATGACTCTTACCTTGTGCAGCCACAGAGGGATGTTCCCCGCTTCGCTGTGTGACAAGTGTTTCTGCTGGACGGCTGCCCAACAGAAGGAGTCCACGTAGGCAGCCTGTCTCCATGAGAAGGAGCTGGGGGCAAAGCAGCTGATCTGAGCACCTGTCACCCAACAGAGAGGAAAAAAAAATCAGTCAATAATAAAGTGGACCTGTCATTAGCCGTCACATAAACCTTGTGTATTGCATATTTTGTATATTGAGCTCGTATATATTTCTATTCCAGTGAATATAAGGCGTTTTCTGATTGGACGAGGTGGACATCATCCGACCCTCCTCTCTGCCTCATCCAATCCAAGCATGACTTTTTTTTTCCAATGAATACAAGCTGTTCTCGGTGAACGGTGGAGGTGCCGAGTGAGCGACTCACTGCGTTCGTATACAGACATTGAAAGCTTTGTTCTGCAGTCCTGTCCTGAGGTGACAACGCTGCTAGTCCATAGATAAATACATAGAGCAGCACCCAGAAGAGACGACCATATGTAGCACAGACTATTACAATGAATGGCTGCATCCCTAGCAGCCCTACGCATGTGAGATATGAAGAACTACAAACAACAAAGTGGGACCCGAATGCAATCCCATGTCCGGAGTACAGATAGTACACCGGGAGCTGCGGAGGGGAAGGAGCGATCGTGGACAGGTAAGAGCAGCAGGTAGGGAGAGTTGGGGGCAAATTGGTGGAGGTAATTCATTTTTCCCAAATTTGCCTGGGAAAGTGGAAACATCCTTTAAGGTTTTACAAACCCAAAAAAAAGTTAGTGGCTTTTATCTCTGTCTTCAGTATTTATATTATTGAATGCAAATGCTCCCTGGCTTCTTGAAATATCTGCCGGCTACTAGTTTAAGATGACTGGCAATGCACATCAGACTAATCTGTTTCATCATGTGGGGTCACAAAGAAGACCCATCGGTCTGGACCGGCACTTAAAGAGAACTATGAGGTGAGTGATTTTCACTCAACCTCATAGTTGGAGCTGACGTGTGACAGTTTTATTGATCATCGGCTCAATAGATTGGGAAGTGAGCAAACGCATACCGTCGCTCGCTCACTTCTCGATCTATCCCTGCAGAGAGCGTGACTGTCAGTCACCGCTCCCTGCAGGGATTCCCCGCTCCGGTCCTTCAGCGCTGACTGGCGGAACGGACGGGGAGGGGGCGGGCACAGCTGGCTCTGCCTCTAGATAGGCTGAGCCAGCTGTCAATCACGCAACTGGGTGGATCTCAACAGTAATGTAGCTCGCAATATACTGAGCTTAGGGTGACGGGAAGGTGCTAGTTTGTGTCCTCCCGTTACCCTGAGAACTATGGGGAAAAGCCTTAACTCCATAGTTCTCCTTTAAGAGAACTATGGGGGGAAAACACAGATGTTTTTCTTCTCTGATCTTACTTACTATAACGCCCCCCCAGTGTCCACCATCTCCATATGTTATTATGTGTACTATGTGGTTGTAAATTACAAAACATAATAATTTATTCCTGACATTGCTTTGGGGGTTCACGTTTGCCAATCACGTCTCTCATTTAATGCGGTCCTTGAAGCATAAAGACCAGGATTTGAGGGCAGGAGCCTTCTTGCTGATCTTCAGCTTTCCTAATTCCTTACCAGATGTTAATTATAGAAATCCTAACCCGATGAGGATTGTGGTCTTGGAGTTGTGCAGCGTTGACTTAGGAAGTCATGTAGAACATGAACTACATGCATTAACATATAGCAAATCGAATGTAGTCATTTTTCTTTTAAACAGAACGGCTTCTTCAAAGAATGTAATTGGGATTGGATACATAATGATTTATAAGTGGAACTGAACTGAAAAGTGAAGATTGGTTATGTTATAGGGAACATTTAGAACTGTTATTGTGCCCAGGCAGTACCTGGAGAAATGTAGGTTTTGTCTTAAATTCCTCATGTAAAATAACTGCACTTCCTGGTATGTGAGGTGCCTTGGTACTCCCCTGTGCCAACAGCCTCATACCGATACACCAATCAGCCGATATGGCCACTGGGAAGTGATGTGAATAATATTGATTATCTGGTTACAATGGAGCCTGGACGTGGATGGGATATATTTGGCAGCAAGTGAACATTTTGTCCCTGAAGTTGATGTGTTGGGAGTAGAAAAAATGGCCATGTGTAAGGATTTGTAAGTCTTTGACAAGGACCAAATTGTGATGACTAGAAGACTGGGTCAGAGCAACTCCAAAACTGCAGCTCTCAATGTTCTGCTGGGAAGCCTTGGGTCCTGCCATTCATGTGGATGTTACTTTGACACGTACCACCTACCCAAATATTGCTCCTAACCAAGTACACCCCTTCATGGACCAGCATTCCCTGATGAGTGGCCTCTTTCCTCAGGATAATGCTCCCTGACAGAATGCAAAAATGGTTCAAGAATGGTTTGAGGAACACAACAATAAGTTTGAGGTGTTGACTTGGCCTCCAAATTCTCCAGATCTCAATCCAATTGAGCATCTGTGGAATGTACTGGAAAAACAAGTCCGATCCATGGAGACCCCACCTTACAACTATAGCTGGCCATACACCTTACGATTATCATTCGATTTCTTTCGTCCCATCAGCAAACCGTCGTTCGATTTCTGCTCAAATACCCATCATGCACAGACCAAAGTTGTTTTTGATTATCATTCGTTAGCAATACTAACTGATCAAATTTCCTGGATCCACAGAACGGATTTTCGTTGGAGCATGTGCAGTATTGATGTTGCAATTTTTTTTGTACGAAAACCCTAATCCATCGATTTTTCTACAATTCGAAAACCGTTTTCCACCCTCACTGATCAGAAGAAATTCGGCCAGTTGTACAGTAATGGTGATCGTTCACTTCCCATCAACTGCCTGATTTCTGAACGATAATAATCGCAAGGTGTGTGTGTAAAGGTGCACCTTTACACACACACACGACTTAAAAGGATCTGCTACTGACCGCTTGGTGCCTAGTGGAGTCCATGCCTCAATGGGTCAGGGCTGTTTTGGTGGCAAAGGGGGGAACCTACTCAATATTAGGCAGACGGTTATAATTTTATGGCTGATCGGCGTGTATATGCAGTGTGAGATCTAAGGCACTGCTGCCCCTGATTGCTAGTCTCAGGAGATTTGGGGATGTCATTACTCTGCTACTCACACTGTTCTCCTGTGCTGAAGATTCTGACTTGAGGTAGCAAAGCCTTGCCTCTACCAAGATGGATCCCCCCCCCCCGAGTAGCACTTTAATTATAAACAGTCAAACTGGTATAGGTCTATT